GGAAGGAAGGAAGGAAGGAAGGAAGGAAGGAAGGAAGGAAGGAAGGAAGGAAGGAAGGAAGGAAGGAAGCCCGCCCAAGGCAGCACAGGCCATTTGGGCACGATATTTGGGAACTGAGAACATACACGAAGGAGCAGGAATGAAGTCGAGCCACAAGTAAATAAATATGCAGGCAATCAAGTGCAAACTCCATCTCTGCCCCAGCAGCCGCTAACCTTGTCCGCTGAATTCGTGGTTGGCTTCAGCTTCCCTTTTGCCATTAACATGGCGTTGATTTTTGCTGCCACGGCTGCCGCAGCATCAAGGGCTCCTAAAGGAGCCGCGGAGCCTTCAGAGCCGGACATCCCGTCTCCGCTGCCCTGGACGGGGCGGCCGACCACAGGGGTGGTAGCAGGGAGGAGGAAAAGAGCTGGAGAAGGCCCAGGCTGGTCCCATTTGCTCCGGCGCCTGGAAATCAGGGGAAAAAATTATTTTTTCCAATTCCTTCTGTCAGCTGGGCCTGCTTCTCAAATCATCCTTCCCCTTCTGACATTCTGGAACACTTTACAGTTGTCGTCCCTATTTAGGATCAATCAGAATCGATTAATTCAGCTAGACTGACAGTTTGTCTTAGCATTTAGAGTTAACGCTTGCTTCCCAACCATTTTTTGTTCTGAGGTCAGTGGAAGGCCGACTCAGCAGACAAACCGGTTGGTGCCCAGGGGCCAAGCAATTCAAGTAGCAAGTGGCAATGTCTGATTCCCCTGCCCTCCCCACCCGCCGCTTACAAATTCTCCATTTTCGGCTCATGAGAAATTATCACAGGAAACAGAAAGTGCAGCTGGTTTTCAGGGGGGCTGAAGAGCCAATGAGTCGACTGGACTAAGGGCGGATCAAAAGCCGGGCCCCTAAGGTGCTCCACCAGTCAGCTGACAGCCCGTATGAGTATGAAAAGGGCCACAGTGAGGGAGTTGGCCAGATTGCCCAGAGAGACGGCGAGGGATAGCTTGGAAGAGGAAAGGCTGCCAGGAGGACAGCAGAAGACTTGGAAGGGAAGAGGCGGGAAAGGCCAGGAGAGGAGGCGGAAGGAAGCTGCGGCTCCTGAGGCGGAAAGAGCTAAAGCCACTGCCTGCCTCAGGAGCCCGGAGCAAGAGGCACCTGGAAGCAGAGCAGGAGGCCTGGAAGGGAGAGGCGGCTCCTGAGGCAAAGAGAGCTGAAGTCGCCTGGAGCCGCAGGAGGGCGAGCCGAAGGGGCCGCTCTGGAGCTGAAGTCACCT